TTTACGTGTAGAGGGTGGGTTACCCCCACAACACTTAGGCCTCATTGGGCCCATTGTGCATCCTCCTAAGATGCTAGGCACCTCCTAGCTCGTGAGCCAGTCCATAGATTTAATGTAGTTGACAACGTCGCCAAGAGGTGATTCTCTTATATCGGCCGGTGTTAGCCGATACTCGCCGAACACAAATCTTCTAATAAATGACAGCGTCGAGCAATCGTAAAGGATAGGCTCGATGGTCTCATCTTCTGACATTCTGACAGCCCCATGATATAGAGATGCTTCCGTACTTGGCAATGACCAGTCAGAATACCTGTGACTAGGCGCAGATTATGTCTAGTCATAGTCAAGTATTTGCTGCAGTGTTGTCAGGATAACTTAGGAGCTCCCTGGCAACTCTGCAGTTTCTTGTTTCACCCCATCTTTCTTTGAATTTCACAAGGGAATGTTCTTTAATTAGGTCTGTCACTACCGATTTTGTCAGGCCAATAGAAGGGCCAGGTCCAAAAAGTATTTGGTTTGCTGCTTTCTTGGCTAGTGAATCAGTAAGATGGTTACCTTTCGATGTGGCGTGACCTTTGATCCATCTTAAGGTGACCACATTGTTGATGGACACTTCGGTCAAAGCTTCGTGACATTCTAGTGCTAACACTGAGTAAATTCGTGGTCTGTTCAGGGTGAGTAGTGCTTGTCTGCTATCTGAATAGATGAGCATGTTCCTTTCAGTGATATTGTTTCTGGTTATTTCTTTTGCTGCTATGAGAATCCCCGTTAACTCTGTTTGATTTACACTGGTACTATTGCTTACAACCCATTTTATGTTTAGGTTTAAGAATCTGGAGTATATTTCACATCCTGAGCCTTGTTTTGTTTTGCATTCTTCCGCGTATGTTCTCAAAATTCTCTGTTTGCAGAATGACCAGGTCATCTGCATATGCTTATTGTGTATTGACTGTGATTATTGAGGCGGCTGATGAGGGTTATAAATGACTTATAAGTTTCAAAAAAATTGAGAAATCCAAATATTTAGAATTTCTCAAAATATCCACTTCAACTGTTGAGAAGATTACATTATTTATAAGGCTGATTTATAGATTTTATTATTTTAGTAGCTTAGTTGATATTCTTGGGACAATGAATTATTTTGCAAAATATATATCCATAATATATAAATATAATATTTTAACCTAATTTTTTCTAATCAAACAATTTTTTAAATATTCTGAAATATTGCAAATTCTATAATAAAAAAAATATCTCATGTGATAAATATTTCCACTTCGCATCATTGATTAATACTAAATTTCATATCTATCCTATATGTGCCCCTTATTCCGTATCTGGTCAAATTTCAATAGTAGGTAGACGAGGAAGACAATATCGCCCATCCCTCGGTACGAGGGGACACTGTAGTCATATTTTTCAATCATTTTAATGCCCGAAATTACTTTGCTAATTTAACAATTACAGCTTTATATCGTCGCGTCCATGACAAAACGGCCACAAACTCCACTATGATCTTTTTTCAGGAGACAGAAAAAATCTTATAAATTATTTTGTAGTAATTTTCAAATGAAACAATTTCATTCTGGTTCTTTCTATATTTTTTTTCTAATTTTTCTTGCCATTTTATTTGATATTTCTAGAAGAATTTTTATACAAAATTAAAAAAACTGTAAATTTGTCGCTTATGCCAGTTAGTGACAACTTAAAAGTATTTATGCCAAAAACGTCATGGCGCTTGAGCTTTGTCGAATTAATTAGAATGGACGAAAAGGTCGCTTATCTGGATATATGCCAAAATGTTAATTATTCATTTTTAAAATTCAGTGGTATTTGTGCCATTAAAGGGGATGAAATTAAAACTCAATAATTTTTTTTTTTTTTGAAATATAATATCATTGTTATCATAATCATCATTATTTTCTTTTTAACCGACTTCAAAAAAGGAGGAGATTATAAATTCGTGACGGATATTTTTTTTTTATGTATGTTCAGCGATTATTCTTTAACACAGTGTCCGATTTCAATGATTCTTTTTTTGTTAGAAAGAGGGTACTTCAGGTGTGGTCCCATATAAATTTGGTTAAAATCTAATAATTGGATCCATGGGAAAATCCTCAAACTCTCCATTTTTTATGTATGTTAAGCGCTAATGCTTTACCATCTTGTCCGATTTCAATAATTCTTTTTTTGTTAAAAAGGGGGTACTTCAGGTGTGCTCCCATATAAATTTGGTTAAAATCTAATAATTGGATCCATGGGAAAATCCTCAAACTCTTCATTTTTTATGTATGTTTAGCGATAATGCTTTACCATCTTGTCCGATTTCTATGATTCTTTTTTTGTTAGTAAGGGGGTACCTCAAGGGTGGTCCCATGTAAAATTGGTTAAGATGTGGTGACGGCATCTGCACGTTTTTGAAGACGGTTTTTTTAAATTTTTAATTTCTAATACTTGTTTCATTTTTGTATTTTTATTTTCTTTGTTCTTTCCTATATGCTGGTCATTGTTTTCGTATATATTTTCATTGTGTTTTCTCTCTTCCATATAATTTTTTTTATCTGTTTATTTTCTTCGATCTCTTCTATATGTTTTTCGTTTTCTTCTATACCTATAAAATTATGTTCTTTTAAAATTTCACTGTTTTCATTCCCCTTTATGATTACTTCTTCCTCTTCTTCTAGATTAATCATTTAATTGTCAAATAGAGTGGACGAAAAATCGTTTTCTAGAAATAAAATATCCATATTTTAACACTTCTTCCACTAGCAAACTACAACCTTTAGATGCTTGTTCTTGGGCCATTGACACAATCAACTTACTTCTATTAGGTGTCATCTACAAAGTAAAAGTATATGAAAGGCATAAACGCCAACTTTCAAACGCTTTTTTGTCCCTTTTCCTAACATATTTTTTAAAATTACATTTTTTTAAATATTTGCACTAGCAATTCTTAATAAAAGTTTAAAAATGCTTTAAGCAATCAAATTATAAAAAATAAGATAACAAGAAAATACATTTACGTTACACACAAATGGGAAATGGCGTTTGTGCCAAACTTAAAATTTGTGAGATGTATTGGCATAAACGCCTATTCTTTTTTCTGATTTTTAGGAATTTTCTCTTACTTTTATACAATTATTATTACAAACCACTTCCTAAAATTAATATGATGTATTTTTATTATATAACAAATTTTGCTGTTACTTTGCAATAATATAAATATTACACAAAAATATGACGATCTTTCTCCGTGTGTTGTTTATGGGCGACTGGCGCTTGTACCAAATCATCAACAATAAATCTGTTTAGATGGCGCTTGTACAAACTTTTAGGCGGTGGTAAACATTTTATTTTCTTAAAATTTTCATTGCGAATCGATGGAGAAAAAAAATCCCTATGCAGTAGTGCTACTAGCTTAATTTTCGAATTTTTGGCGTTTGTGCCGTTTTGTCATGGACGCGACGATATAACGACTAATTTTAAAAATAATTTTTGATTTTGTTAAGAAAAACGTTTATTACAACATAATAGTAATCGATTAAAAAATGATGCATGTTTTATAATATTAATCCTCTATTAAAAGTTGTCCTATTTTTAAAAATGTATTAAACTTTATAATTTTTTTTACGAAACCAGCCATTTTTTCAAAAAAGTATGCTACCTCAGGGCTAGTGCCACTTATTCTCTTTGCACATAAAATTTATGGTATTATCTTTAATATTGTGTTTTCTAGGATTAAACCAGAATGCCTATTATTTATACAAATTTATTGCTATTGTCAGCGGAGCAATAACTCTTAAAATAATTTATAATTTTTTCGTCACCTAATTCATAAAGTATATGGCAAATTTCCCTCGGTCTTCTCTTAAAGTAATATGATAGGCTAGCCAGAAACCTTTTTCTTTTTCTGTAACTAGCAGCCATATTTGTTAGCGTTATATCAAATTCACAAGCTTTATCATGAGATGAGCTGTCCACCAAATCCATTAATAAGCCACAAAAACAAGCAAAAAAAATAAACATAATCCTAGTCATGAAATTAAACTATCCTACTAAACAAAGCTTATATTTCTTATAGCATCATTCATCGTAAAATGATGTCTAATGTAATATATAACTATGAATCTATTAAATGAGTAAAACTAGCGTGGATACCAGGGCACAAAGGTATCCAAGAAAATTAAAAGGCTAATTAACTCGCCAAAGAGTGATCAGATCTACCTTTCACAGGACCCAAACCTGTATTTGGGATAAGCAAAACCTCTGCTCGACAGGCAGTAAACAGGTGATTAACCGTAAAACACCAAATTCACTGGCAACAGATAAGAGGGCACAGAATCAGTAATCTCGTGCTAAGGGGGCCAAACCCGCGCATGGCTACTGAGGCACTACAACTCGCAAGGCCTCAGATATCCATCATTGTGGGATTACTAACGGGGAACTGCTTGCTAAAACACCTTCATGTGATGGGATAACACAATGACCCCACTACGTGTAGACCATGTGATCTTCGAATGCGAAGCTCTTACTAGGCGACGAATTTATTAAAACTAACTGAAGACACAGGACTATTCCAAAGATACTACCTGAATACGGGGAAAGCAGGGGAATACAATAGACCCAAGAGGCCGCAGTGTTCTGGGCCAAACCTAACCCTACCTGCTTATAACCGACAAAGATAAAGATAAAGATCGCGAAATAATGACTAATATAATATATAACTATGAATCTATTAAATATCTTATAGCATCGGTCGTAGTAAAATCCCAGATTTAACGTAATTATTCACATAAATTAACGTTTGAGAAATATAAAACATAAAACTAACTTTGCTCTTTATATCACCTTGTTCAAAGGTATTTTGTAAATTACCTCATGGTACTTTAAAATCTGGTGACACGAAATAAGTTGAGAATTGTTTTTCCTAGAATTGCAACATGCTCTATAATAATAATTATTTTAGTCTGTATTTCTACTAATAAACGATGTTTTTTTAGGTAACTAAATTAGCATTTTCGATTTACACGTTTTTGCATAAAATGGGACAAAAATAATTGATTGGATATATTGAAGGAAGGTTTGGTATTTAAAATCACAGAAAAAAGTAAATTTAGCTAATTTGTAATAAGCATTACTTGTAAAAATATATTGAGTAACTGTTTAATAACATTCGTATAATTTACAATGACCAATATTCCTTATATCGACGAAATTAACTATTTAGGAATTACATGTATTCCTATTTAATGAATATAAAACAATTCATTGCTGCATAAATATTATAAGTATAGAAGATTTGTGTTCGGCGAGTATTGGCTAACACCGGCCAATATAAAGCCAGGATCCAACGGCGCGCGGAGTGGCACTCCACAGCTCCAACGCCCCGGCTAGGAGCGTGGTACTGTCAGTGCCGTGATAACTTTCACCATGGAGTGGTCTAACGAAGTGTTGTTAGAATTTTTATCATTCTATGAAGCCGAGCCGATTATTTTTTGTCCTCTTGCCATCCTCTAAACTCCTAACATAAAATAAAAAGCTGAGGCAGCAACGATAGGCGTACGCTCACAGTTCATCTTTTCGTGCAATTAAACCGAATTATGAAATGTTTATCGCCAACACTGCCGTCGTAAAACAGACTGTAATAGGCGCGTGTCCAAATCTGCGCGATCCTTATGCACCGTAGGAACGGTCCGACCCTTGAGACAACTCACAACCCAGGATTGCCGATCCACGCGCCGAGGAGTACCACTCCACGCGCCATTGGATCCCGGCTTTAGAGAAGCACCTCTTGGCGACGTTGTCAACTACATTAAATCTGTAGGCTGGCTCACGAGCTAGGAGGTGCCCATCATCTTCGGAGGATGCACAATGGGCCTAGTGAGGCCTAAGCGTGGGTTACATACGTACCCTCTACACTTTACAGATACAGAAGTATAGAATGATCGACAATTGGAAGAATTTCTGGGAAGCATTATTTTTTTAAATACCCACCTATCTATAAATATAGCTAAGTCATATCACTTTATTTTAAAGTAATTCAACAAATCGGTGATGGTTCACAGTAACACCTCTGAAGTAATACAAAATATTTTAGCATTTGGTGTCATAATATAATTCGTAATATTCGAAGCTGCAATGGACCAGTTATTGAACTCTGTGGCACATAAAAATTAGATCAGATTAGATTTTAAATGAAAGGATGTGCACAATCTAGAAGGCAAAATCGGCTATTCCCTAAATCACGGGGAGATTGCGCTAGGTGCCTTCCTCAACAACGTCCTTCCTCATTCTCTGCTCGCTTCTATTGAAAAAAGAGGAATCGACAAAGTAACTTGTAATTGGATCAGCAAACCGAAACCACTTCATTATTGCAGGGAGAGACTGTCACTTTTGGCCTGCCAGAGGATGTCCACAAGGCGGCGTACTTTCACCCTTACTGTGGACTATTCTGGTGGATAACCTGCCAGACGATCTCTTCCGACAGGGGGTGGAGATCCAATGGTATTCGGACGATCAGGTTATCATAATTAGGGTAAAGTTCGAAGAGGTGATCTCCAAAATCCTTCAACAAGCCCTTAATACGATTAACAGATGGTGCGAGAGGGAGCAGATGTCCGTTTAAGGTTTAATGTTTAATGTCTGATTAATTTGCTTCCCGCAAAGAAGACTATAAAGATCTTTTAAGATAGCCAGGCAGCCCTTAAAGCCCTGAGCTCCAATCGAGTTAACTGAAAGCTGGATTGGAACTGTATAAATACCATAGATATATAACCAAGACAGATAGGATTATTTACAAAATTTTTGAAGAATGAACGTTGGTGTCCGCGGTAAAAACCCAATAATCTGATTAAACATTGATGCCAAGTTTACGTGCTTTTAACTATAGATATATATATATATATATATATATATATATATATATATATATATATATATATATATATATATATATATATATATATAGATTCGTCCTGCCGACTTTGTGACATCATGTCGCAAAAATGTTGCTATCTTTATAACATCCGTCTGCGATGTGACATCCAAATTCGGATGTCACAACGTTTTTGGGGTTCAAACATCATAAAGGAGGTTTAAAAGGGCGCCAAAAAAATTTCAGCTGGATGTCATAATGCTTAATTTTCAATTTTATGTATATATTTAGTTCCAGTGTATAGATGCGAAGGTGGCGCTCGCGTCAGTTGGTTTTGTATATTTTGTATATTAAATATTTCAGTCCCTCGACTGTCTGGCATCCACCATTAAGTATATTAGAATTTACTCACTCGACTGTCTGACATCCAACATTCAGTATATTAAAACTTACTCACCCGACTATCTGACATCCACCATAGAGTATATCAGAACTTTACACACTAGGTTATGTGACATCCAAAAAATTTATTTTAGATATATTTGGATTTTCATTTTAAGATCTATTTTATGTTAACACATTAACTGCCAAAAATTTTTGTTGGGTTTCGCATAGAGCCAATAAGTTTTTTAAATGCATTTACTCTCTGTGACTAATAAATATTATTACAAGGTGTATCAACAATGGGTGAGTGGACGATGACTGTAATTTATATTAAAATAAATCAAATGAAATGAAATTAAAATAAATTAAATTAAAATAAAATAATTAAAAAAAATAAAATAAATTATAATAAATTAAATAAAAAAATTTAAATAAATTAAAATAAATTATAATAGATTAAAATAATTTAAAATTAAAATAAATTAAAGTAAATTAAAATGAAATAAACTAAAATAAATTAAAATAAATTAAAATAAATTAAAATAAATTAAAATAAATTAAAATAAATTAAAATAAATTAAAATAAATTAAAATAAATTAAAATAAATTAAAATAAATTAAAATAAATTAAAATAAATTAAAATAAATTAAAATAAATTAAAATAAATTAAAATAAATTAAAATAAATTAAAATAAATTAAAATAAATTAAAATAAATTAAAATAAATTAAAATAAATTAAAATAAATTAAAATAAATTAAAATAAATTAAAATAAATTAAAATAAATTAAAATAAATTAAAATAAATTAAAATAAATTAAAATAAATTAAAATAAATTAAAATAAATTAAAATAAATTAAAATAAATTAAAATAAATTAAAATAAATTAAAATAAATTAAAATAAATTAAAATAAATTAAAATAAATTAAAATAAATTAAAATAAATTAAAATAAATTAAAATAAATTAAAATAAATTAAAATAAATTAAAATAAATTAAAATAAATTAAAATAAATTAAAATAAATTAAAATAAATTAAAATAAATTAAAATAAATTAAAATAAATTAAAATAAATTAAAATAAATTAAAATAAATTAAAATAAATTAAAATAAATTAAAATAAATTAAAATAAATTAAAATAAATTAAAATAAATTAAAATAAATTAAAATAAATTAAAATAAATTAAAATAAATTTAAATAAATTTAAATAAATTTAAATAAATTTAAATAAATTTAAATAAATTTAAATAAATTTAAATAAATTTAAATAAATTTAAATAAATTTAAATAAATTTAAATAAATTTAAATAAATTTAAATAAATTTAAATAAATTTAAATAAATTTAAATAAATTTAAATAAATTTATATAAATTTAAATAAATTTAAATAAATTAATATCTGATTAAAATAAATAATTAACACTTCTTACGATTCGTCCTAACATAAAAAATATGATGAGCTAATTCATAAAAACGACAAATTTCGATTTCCTAACACCTTAACAGCCTAGTCCTCCACTTGAACTCCAATTGCGACTGCAAACGATCGTCGTTCGTGCATCGTCGGTGCCTTGCTGTTTAGAGTTATAACCTTAATAGTATGTTCAAGTAGCGATAAATATTGATGTACGCGGATTTTTTTTGTCTTTTTTTATTTTAGAGTGAATTAATATAAGAAGTTTTACTTCACTCTTTTTTTAATACTTAGTTTTTTTATGCTACTGATATTATTCCAAATAACTTTACTTAATGGTTCTTTCGTCATTTATAACCGAGCTACAGGTAGTTTTATTAACTTTGCCAATTTCTTTCCTGTTTCATAACTTACCAACCACCCTTACATGTTATTAAAATTTGGCACATGTATTCTCTACAACTTACCATAATCTATTAAGGTATTAATAAGAAACAAAATGCAGTTCCATCTTTTCAAAAAATTTAAAAATTTGTCTATCCTATAAGAATACACTACAAGTCGTTAAATTTGTATCCATATTTGGAAAAAGCACAAAAAAAAATAATTATATGCTATTAATTTTTACTACATGATTTTATTACTAAAATTAACTGTTTTTATATTATTTTTAAACTAAGCACATTTTTAAAAGTTACATGTTATGCGTGTACACTACAATAAAATGTACTTACAAGTCCATATTTATGACCAAATATAATCATTACTTTTTAATTAATCTAGGCAAAATTGATTCAAAGCATTGCTTTTGGTAGGTACTGATAGGCACAGATATATAAAAGTACCAACATAATATATGGCTTTTAAAAATTCAGATGGAATTAAATTATCCTCATTATAACGTATTGAAGTTACTTAAAAATCCCTTTAGTTTCATTTTTTATCTCCAAAATGCTCAAAAATAACAATTTAAACGTTATAATTTAGCTGTAAAATCATTGTACAAAAACATGACTAATTTTAGTTTTTTATGGTCTCTTTAAATATGGAAACTAATTCAGAAATGTACTTTTTTGTTTAACTCAAAAGTAACAATTTGAAGTTAAAAATGTTTGTACTAAAATACATTCACAGACCTAAAATTTGATCAATTCAAAATAATGATTTATATAAAAATGCTCTAACTTTCAAATGCGGAGGCTTATTTATTTGAAGTTTTTAGCAACTTTTAGATAAAATACTTAGTTTTAAGATTATTATTCGGACATCTAAAAGTAATTTAGTACTCGCCGGATATACGGGGGGGAAGAGAACAATTTTTTCCTCTACTTTTGACACACACTGTAGGTTAATTCTGCTAGTAGATCTGCATACAATTAACTTTATCAAGAAGACTGATTTGTTACCAACA